CCTGAGGTAAACAGTGGAGAAACAGATGGGCCTTTGGGGCAGACAGTGTAGTGAGGGGTAAGGAATAAAGAAGCGGACAATAACAATGTTGTCACCTGCAGGTTCTTTCTGCCAGCTGCACAGACAAAATCGATCCACTGAGGCGGGTGGGTCACTTAAAGTCAGAAGTTCAAGACCAGCCTAGCCAACGTGGTGAAACCCCATCGCTACCAAAAATATAAAAAATTAGCCAGGTGTGGTGGTGCTTGCCTGTAATCTCAGCTACTCAGGATTACAAAATGGATCCACTGAGGTGGGTGGATCACTTAAGGTCAGGAGTTCAAGACCAGCCTGGCCAACATGGTGAAACCCCCTCCTTGTGGTGGTGCTCACCTGTAATCCCAGCTATTCGGGAGGCTGGGGCAGGAGAATTGCTTGAACCTGGGAGGTGGAGGTTGTGATGAGCCAAGATCATGCCCCTGTACTCCAGCCTGGGCGACAGAGCTAGACTCTGTGTCAAAAAGAAAAAATGGGCAGGGTGGGAGCACCCTTCTGGGGTCTCAATTACACCCTATTGTAGTAGAGAGAGTTTGATTGCTGCAAGGCCAGCCCACATGGGAGAACTGGGGTTGTCACTCTAGTCAGTCTCCCTGAAGGGTTGGTGGTTGGGGTTTTTGTAGATAGTTTGGTGGGCAAGGGGCTAGGGAATGGGCACTGCTGATTGGTCAGGGATGAAATCATAGGGATGTGGAAAATGGTCCTGGTCCTCCTGCACTGAGCTTGCCTCTGGGTAGGGCCACAGGATCAGTTGAGTCATGAGTCACAAGTCCAGGTGGGGTCAGTCTGAAGGATGACAACCCTCAGGAAGTCCTGAGAACATGTGCCCAAGGGGGTTGGCGTGCAGCTTTAGTTTTCAGCATTTTAGGAAGACATTGTAACTGCCCCATAGGTTCACCTTGCCTGCTGCCTACACAGAGCCGATTTCTCAAGACGGGAATTGCAATCAAGAGTAATTCACCCAGAGCTGGCTGTGCGGGAGACTGGAGTTTTCTTACTACTCAAATCGGACTCCCTGAGCATTTGGGGATCAGAGTTTTTAAGGACAACTTAGTGCATTGGGGGAAGCCAGTGAGCCAGGAGTGCTGATTGGTCAGGTCAGAGATGAAATCATAGGGAGTGGAAGCTGTCGTCTTGTGCTGAGTCAGTTCCTGGGTTGGGGATACAAGGTCAGATGAGCCAGTTTATGGATCCGGGTGGTTCCAGCTGATCCAGCAAGTGCAGGGTCTGCAAAACATCTCAAGCACTGATCTTAGGGGCATTTTAGGGAGGGTCAGAATCTTACAGCTTCCAGCTACATGACTCCTAAACCATAATTTCTAATCTTGTGGCTAATTTCTTAGTTCTACAAAGGCAATCTAGTCACCAGGCAAGAAGGAGGTTTGTTTTGGCAAAGAGCTGTTATCATCTTTGTTTTTATTCCTTCTTGTTTTTTGTTTTGTTTTGTTTTTGTTTTGAGACAGAGTCTCTGTCTCCCAGGCTGGAGTGCAGTGCCGCAGTCTCGGCTCACTGCAGCCTCCGCCTCCTGGGTTCAAGTGATTCTCCTGCCTCAGCCTCCTGAGTATTTGGGATTACAGGCACGCCACCACGCCAGGCTATTTGTTTGTGTGTATTTTTGGTAGACATGGAGTTTCACCAGGTTGGCCAGGCTTGTCTCCAACTCCTGACCTCAGGTGATCCTCCTGCCTCAGCCTCCCAAAGTGCTGGGATTACAGATGTGAGCCACTGCGCCCAGCCTCATCTTCATTTTAAACTATAAACTAAGTCTATCCCAAAGTTAGTTCAGTCTATGCCCAAGAATGAACAAGGAAAGCTTGGAGATTAGAAGCAAGATGGTGTCAATTAGGCTAGATATCTTTTACTGTCTCAGTCATAATTGTGCAATGGTGGTTTCAACATGAGACTTCAATCAAATACATTTAAGAAATAAATTGATTTGGTCCAGAAAGGCAGGACAACCTGAAGTGAGGGCTTCCAGCTTATAGGTAGATATAGCACTGCGGGAGTACAGTGGCACAATTTTGGCTCAATGCAACCTCCGTCTCCTGGGTTCAAGCGATTCTCCTGCCTCAGCCTCCTGAGTAGCTGGGATTACAGGCAAGTGCCACCATGCCCAGCTAATTTTTGTATTTTTAGTGGAGATGGGGTCTCATCACGTTGGCCAGGCTGCTCTCCAACTCCTGACCTCAGGTGATCCGCCTGCCTCAACCTCTCAAAGTTGTGGCGTTACAGGTGTAAGCCACTGCACCCAGCCTTGGTTGAGTTTATCTAAAGACCTGGGAATAACAGAAAAGAATGCCTGGGTTAAGATTAAGGATTGTAGAGACCCAAGTTTTTATTTGCAGAGGAAGCCTTCAGGTAATAGGTTTCAGAGAGAATAGGTTGTAAAATATTTCTTATCAGACTTAAAGTCTGTCTTGATACTAATGCCAGAGAGGTATAATGAGGCGGGTCCAACCCTCACTTCCCATCATGGCCTGAAACAGTCTCTCAGGTTAACTTTTGGCTAAGGAGGACGTCCATTCAGATGGTTAGGGGCCCTTAGAATTGTATTTTGGGTTTACAATAGAGTCAGCTATGTCAGATTTCTCTTACTGTCATCATTTTTTATTTTTAAGATGGAGTCTCACTGTGTTGCCCAGGCTGAAGTGCAGCGGCTTAATCTTGGCTCACTGCAACCTCCATGTCCTAGGTTCATGCAATTCTCCTACCTCAGCCTCCCAAATAGCTGAGACTACAGCCACCCACCACCATGCCTAGCTAATTTTGGTATTTTTAGTAGAGACGAGGTCTTTCCATGCTGGCCAGGCTGGTCTTGAACTCCTGACCACCCGCCTCAACCTCCTTCTTATCTGTAAATTTTCAGTGCCACAAAAGAAGTAGCACTCGAATATAAATTTTCTCAGCAAGACAATTTCTAGAAGGGTGCATCTCACAGATGGAGCAATGGTGAGCACACACTTGGACAAGGGAGGGAAAGGGGTTTTTATTCCTGACACAGGTATCCCCTACTGCTGTGTTGTTCCCCTATTGGCTAGGGTTGGACCACAGCATCTAAACTAATTCCAATTGGCTGCTTTAAAGAGAGCAGGGGTAGGAGCCGAAGTGGCAGGGTGGGTAGTTTGGTGGGAAGGACAGTTATGGAACAGGTCAGAGCAGCTGACCGGGGCAACAGGTATGAACTACTGATTAGAACTGGTGGGAAAGTTGTTTACTGAAACTGGAGGCAAGGGGGCACCGAGAACCAGGAAGTTAAACTTTAAAATGGAGAATTAAAGAATAAGAGAGCTGAACATACTGACATACTGATTTTTTTTTTTTTTTTTTTTTTTAAATGGAGTTTCTCTTTTTTTTTTTTTTTTTTTTTTTTTGAGACGGAGTTTCACTCTTGTTACCCAGGCTAGAGTGCAGTGGCGCGATCTCGGCTCACCGCAACCTCCGCCTCCTGGGTTCAGGCAA